AATCCAAACAGGGATGCCTAGCTGAGAGCAAAACTGAAATTAAAAACAAGCATTTTTGTCATCAGAATTTTGTTACTTATGGGTCATAGTCCTAACACCTCAAAGTCGTAAAACTGTCCAGCTGAAATGAGTTTTATTTTAGATTCAGTATCATCACTAAGGGACTTTTATATTTTCGCTGAGTGAAGAACTCAAATTAAAAATATGCCAACAGATTTTTGGGTCTTTTTCTCAACACCATGCATGCTACAGTCACAGACTTCAGCTGAATTGAAAGCCAGGTTGTCAGTAACAACACAGAAAGGTCAAAAGGAGGCGGGTTGTTTGAGGTTGACTACCTTATTTCCCTCTCGCGAAAGGCCACAGGCAGCATGTTGGGCCTGTTATTCTGCACCGGCAGCAAGTAAGAAAGAGGCAGAGGTTAAGACACGTGGGGGGTGGGGGGGGGGGCATGAGTGACATATATGCATCTGATGTTGAAGACATGCAAACGTCACCCGCTTCCTCTGCAGCTTCTTAAAGTAAAGTGTTGGGTGTCTGAGGAACTTATAGTTTCAAAAGGGGAAATGAGATTGTTAGAACACAGGACACAATGTACAATCTCATCCTATTACACATGTACATCTATTGATTACTAGGATAATATGCTACCATCAACAGATCAGACACAGTATGTGCAACAAACATCTAATAAAAATGAGGAGTATTTAGGTAAGGTGCACATTTTTCATGTTTCATAAGATTGTTGAGATCTGTGTCATTTGTTCACCTGAAAGAAGTCTCTCTCTGTGTCTTTTTCACATACTCAGGCTGTGAGTTGTGGTTCTTTGCATTGTTATCATTGCTGTCATCTCTAACAATGAAAAACAGTGTGTGTTCAAGGGATGGGGGAGGAGCAGACACAGAGAACAACACAGGAAAAGAGGGAAAGAACAGCCAGCTGTCGAACATCAGAGAAAAGAAAAACGAGAGTGATTGAATACAAAGAGAGAATATGTTAGACGGGGTTGGCTGAACTGGAGGATGTGGAGAGAGTAGAAAACATCTCAAACTGCTCCTCAGTGTAAAGAATTGGGCCAAAAAAGTCATTGATTTTGGTTTAAATACAGAAAAATAAAACCTCCAAAGTTGACTTTTTTGGTGTTTTGGCTACATGTGTTATTTGTTAAATCATAATAGTCTATGATCACCATTGAACTGCTTTCATTTGGTTGTCCTTTGAGTAATAATGAACAACAAATTGTATGCAGATCTTATCATCTGAATCACTTGGCCTCTCAGCAGTGGATAGTGATCTCTTTAGGGACTGTTCTTTACTTATCAGAGGAGAGGGGTTGCTGGGATGTGATTTTGTTTTTTTGTTTTTGTTTTTTTTGCTGTTAATGTGTTTTTTGTTTGTTTTGTTTTGTTTTTATTGTTTCTCCCCAAAGCTGCAAATATTTTTATTTGAGCCTCCCTGGGTGACTGGCGGGAGAATGTATGACCCTCCCTCCACCATAAATTAGTGATTAGATTTTTTTTTTTTTTAACTCTTTGATGTTTGAAAGTTAAAAGTTAAAAGCTGAAGACAAAATCCTGGAGTTGACAAAAGCCTCAGTTTTACACTCATGTCATGTATTTAAATTAGGCACATAGAATAAAGTGAAAAATCACTATTTTAAGATCAGATTTGGTCATGTTTTTATTCTGACGGGAAGTGTTTGTTGCACATGATGTGTCCAAGGATTACCAGACACTTGAAAATCCAACATTAATTTCTGTTTGGTGCAATTTTGGCGATTTTTAAAGAAAACATTCCTTCCAAAGTGGCCCATCATGTTTTCTTTAAAAATCTGCTGTAAAATAAATACAAAACAATATGATTTAACTTTGTATGCCCCTCACCGGGTAAGTCCCTTCACAGGGCTTAAAAAAATTATTCGACATACCTCCCCCCTGTTGCACCAGCCCCTCCCCCTGATAAATAACGAATAGTCCCTTAATATGACATATTTAAGCAATTATCAGTCAATTCAGTCAAATACGGCAGGCTGGCAGAGAGTCTGAACATTTAAATTAAAGTAACAAAAGTTTGAGACCGCACCCAGGCCACATGTTGCTATGCAGCACGGTGCATTTGGGCATGTTGAGCACACATGTGAACATCTAATGAAGAGCCTATAACAACAGAGCCATGGGAAGGCTGCTCCTTGTTTCTTTATCATTGGACATAGCACTGATTGGCTCCATCTGATTTCCACCAGGGAGTATGAAGCAAAGTGGGAAGGTCTAATGCAATTATTTTTTCTTTGCAGTGTGAACTTTGTGTGGCCACTTTGTTTGTCAGCCTGCAATAATAATCAGAAGAGAATAAACACATGATAAGATATTTTGCTGAATCAGTGTTTGTGTCTTACTCTCTGTGAAGCTATGATTCTCTTCCAGACTTTGTGCTAACACCCATCATTACTCATTCCTAAATTGTTTCAAGTGAATGTTGCTCCAAACATCAAATTCAGCTATTTGTCTCAGTCAATGTTTGGGTGGCATTGGCACATTTTTTAGGCTCTGAGCTGCCAAATCCACTGAATGAGTATTAATGTATATGCAATGCTTTCAGTGCTTTAATGAAATGCTTTCAGATGTCTCAGTGGTCAGGAATGCTAATAATCAGAGAGGTAAAGTGTTGTTTTTCTTCTGTCTGGTTGCAGAAAATAAATTAACACATGTCTTCGGGGAAACAAGCACACATCCATGTGTTCATGCATTCACACACCCTCAATCTTACAAAGCCTTTTCACTAGTCTAATGATGCCTTCCTACAAAAAAACGGTTCATGAGTAATGAAAGCGGACATGGCAATATGGTGTGTGTGTGTGTGTGTGTGTCTTTCTATAAAGATTGGTTATGCTAAGTGAATTCATATAGAAGTTATGCACCTTTTTAATATAGGCCACTTCCAAAGCGCTTTTTGTTTTACAAATTGGCAGCAGTTAATCAACTGTCCTTTGGCTCATGACCAATCTTTCCACAAAATCTTGTGCAATGCAGGAACTAGCCCCTCAAGAAGTGCACATGGCTTTGAAGTCAATTTTTGCAGTGGCCAAAGAATGGAATTACATCTGTCACCTGATGCCATAGGGCCCATAACAACCTTTCCCTAGACTTAAATGGCGAAAGACACCAGTGGATACAGTTTTTTGAGCGTCATAACCCCAACACAGTTACTGGTTTCACAATCAAAATTTGATCCATTTGGTCAGATAACATCTGGAAAGTCTAAATCTCAGCTGGCCACCAATGTCTTTCCACGTTGATATTTGGCTGAAAATTTAGACCAAAATTCAATGTCAGGACAACGTCTAATACTAAGATCATTTGATGTAGAATTCTCATGACAGATGATGTTGATATTTTGTTGGTTTTAAGTTGTGCTGATAAGTAACCAGAATCCAACGTCCTCCAAACATCTCATGTCAACATCATCTTGATGTAGAATACCAACATTTAGTCGTAAAGTATGAAGAAAAACACCCATCTGCATCACAGTGTTAACGACAACAAAAAGTGAAACTGAAACATTGTTAGACATTTAAAATATTGTCAAAACAATTTTAATTCCAACCAAAAATTAACGTCTGCCCTGCTAAAGAGTCCAACATCTTTCTGACGCCATTTGGAAGTCCGGCGCCAGCAGGGAAGAGCTGCAGGACTGAATCATTCTATCCATATCCAAGTTAGTAACGTGCTAAACCCGAAGTAGTTCTGTGGCGGGTAATGAATTTTTTGTGGCTGAGTTTTTAATTGACCTGATGAAGGTTGGACAACCGAAGCATTGTCTAATGAAGTTTACCGCAACTAACAGGACAGTGTGCCCATAGACCTGTCTACAAGTTTTTGAGGGTGTGAATATTCTATTAGGTGGACTAACCAACTGACCAATAACAGAATGACCAAGAGCTGCCATTTACAACTAAAAAAAATTATGTGTGCTCACACAGCCTTATTTTGCAAAAGCTGTGTCAAGTTTACAATGATTCATGTCTCAGTTTGGATTGAAATTTACACTTATTCTCAAAGAAATACAGTTGTACACAAATGATGCCCTTATGGATTATGTAAAATTGGTTGCAATGCGTAGTGTCTTTCTAATGTGTTTATAATTTAGTGACCTATTTTTACATTCTTGCGTAGTTTTAGTCTATAATTTTTTAGAATTTTGTATTTTTGACAATGGCCCAGTGATGGCAGTGTCAGCAGCTGAAATCAGGCCAGTTTATCTGGATATTCATTCATGCCGAGTCTCAGCCATGATGGGCAACTGGATGCAGCCCAACTTATTTCCTTTGGGCCGGTGCTGGGCCAGGTCATTTGGCTACCTGGTGGTTATTAGACTATGCTTATGTTGTGAGACCACTGTCAATCAAATCTGATCAAACCACAGCCACACAGCCATTTTTTAGAGTCAATATCCTAATAAACAAAACTGACAAATGCTTTTTATCCAAGTTGAAGTTTCACTGTTGCTTATTTAGTGACTATAATAGTCAATGTTTTTGAAAAATATGCAAGACTTGAAAGGGGGTTTTCAGGGGCTTTAAAAATCGTTTTGTTTCCATTAGAGCTTATTTAAATATGAAACAATAAGGCGAGCCTGGTTATTAAGGAAATTATTCAGTCTTCTGTAGTTGCACTGAATGACAAACACTGTAAAACATGTGACATGAAGAGCGAGTAGAAAGCAGCTGAAAGCGGAACAAACAAGGTGAATAAGTCGGCATATTAATACTCGGTAATAATAATATCTACGTTTTGGTATTCGGGAGTAACTAATGTAATGGTTAATTTTTTAAACCCAGGATGTAATGTAGCCTGCTTTACACACATAGCCTACCACACTCACGCGCCTCTAACACCTCCGGAACACTAGGCGGAAGCAGCGTACTTGATGCGCATTTGAAATCTTCAATAAACCAAAGAAGAAGTGAAAGAAATTCCGGTGCATTCTGGGACATAAAATTAATCACAATGGCGGTTAAACAACAAGCACGTCATGCCCTTACACTGACGTGTTTACTTTCATCACTTCTACTCCAAACTTGTCGGACTTTTGCTGAAGAACTGACATGGGATCAGAATGGCTACGTGTTGTACTGCCCGTGCATGGGTAAGTTATTCTTTGTAGCCCATACTTGGATTTTAGCATTCTCTTGTATGAAAGGAACAAAGCTAGCGTTTCCAAAACTTCATTCATGAGTTGAAGGGGAGTTTCATGTGGACAAAGGTAACGTTACATGTCGCCTAAATATGAGTCCAGAGCTTTGTTGAACTCTGCTAGGAGTTCAGTAGGAGGATAATATGTCCCCAAAAAATTAAATTGGAGAACACTTGAGCCTGTACCGCCAGATACGATGCAACAGTAACATTAGCTTGTTAGCAGCTAACTGAGTTGAGGTCGGGACAAACTAGGGCAACCAGTAAGTGTAATAATAACTACAGCTGCTGCTACTCTGTGTTAGCAAAGCTCACATTAGACATGATGCGTGGTCAGCTGGGGTAGCCAACATTCCCTCCAGTTCCTCATGTTTCAGTTTTCACGTCATGAGAAGAAGTGTAAAGTTAACTGTTGAAATTGAGAGCATAAAGTGCCCAATGTTACTGTTCAGGTCGCTTTGGAAACCAGGCAGATCACTTCCTCGGATCTCTGGCCTTTGCAAAGATGTTGAACCGAACCCTGGCTGTCCCTCCCTGGATAGTGTACCGCCACCACTCACCCCCTTACACCAATGTGAGTACAGTCACTGCAGTGTGAGCAACTCACACTGACAGCCTGACACTGACTGTAGTCACACAAATGTAGATACAGTACTATATTAATTCTAAAGGGAAATGTTTGTGTTACAGCAGCCACACCACAAAAATGACAGTAAGGTAGGTAGGAAAAAATATTTAAAAAAAAAAAAAGAATTACAACAAAACAAAACTTTTGAATAGACAGTAGGACCATAACATGAACTCTAACATGTTTTCAATACAATAATAGTGTCCATTAATGTACTGCATGAGTGCATGTCAAAATATTAGGGATGGGGGAATCGATTTAGCATAGTATCATGATATTTTCATGGCAATATTTTAGCGATACACGACTGCCAAGTGTAGATTTTTTTATTATATAAATTAATTTTGCAAATACAAATTAACCTTTTGGAAGCAGTATAGATTAATAAAATCAATTGCTTTTTCAGTCCACTATATATGTTTTCCTGCTATAAAAATGATTGAAGTGTGATGAAGGGTGAGTCGAAGACAACATGCACACCTGCTTATTTGATGGTGCAGGGAATCCGGTCTAACAGAAAAGTTAACTCAACAGAAACATTCCTGCACATACTTCTTCAACTTTGCATTGGTTTATTTTAAAAAAAGACTGTCTTGAGAAAAGGTCTTTGAGACCGAAACGCTGACCTTTTTTAAGTAATTAATGCAAAAGGTGAAAAAAGTGTTTGGGAATCGCAATTTTTTTATTGAAGAGAGATGAAATTTTATCATTATAGAATAAACAAATTTTGACAAAGTTTTCCTTTCAGGACATAATTTACAGTTGAAACAAGTAATAAATTGCAGTAAATGTTATTGCAGTACCCAGCATATCACAAAAAGTTTAAAAATCACAACAACAGTGCATTGTGACGTAAGTATCATGAAATACATCATGGGGCCTCTTGTGATTCCTACCCCAAGTAGATATTGTCTCAAGCTGCAAGTAAGGTGCAGGACTAAACAGAAGTAACTGTACATTGAATATATGTTGCTATATTGTATGAATAACTTATGCTATATACATACCCCATATACCCTCTTATCTTGGGGGGGGCTGGAAAGTGCAAAAGTAAAACAGACAGTTTTGGAAAGACTGTGATAACAGACCTAATTAATGATAAATAAATCTATAAGTCCTGGTGACTGGAGGAGCTCCCTTTCCCAACAGAGAAGGGATGCTTTATTCAAAGTGATGGCAGCTGGTCGGATTAACTCCACTGGTTCCGATACTGGACTCATTTAAGTCATCAATATTTACATGGGTGCAAATAATAACATCAGTGAGCCATGCCACCAGTGAGCCTGCATCCACAGTACCAAGGCTCTGGAACTGGTAAAACTAAATTGAATGCAGCCATCGTCAGTGCTAATTAGTTCCACTTGCTGTTTTTACTGTAGTACCTGTCAAAATATGTGCTTTGAAAAAAAGTATACCTTTTGTATATTCTTTTTATCAAATAAATCTGTGAAATTCATCATCCTATCGCCCATAAAAGGGAGAGTTTCCAAAACCAACAATGATTGATCCTACTGACAAGTATTGTGTGTTTGTTTATCCAAAGCCTAAATATCTTTCCCTTATGATATATCTTGTGCTGTTGTTGTCCAAAAACTATTAAAACAGACTGATGAACCACATGTTTTTTTACACTGAGTGATATGTTTCTTCATTACCATGAACACACACTGCTTTATTTTGAGTCAGTCCCACATACACTGTCCTGCTGCTGGAAATAGAAACTAGAGCACCAAATCTGCAGCTCAAAATAGTCCCCAAGAAATGCACTGAGCCTTTTTTTTTTTTATAGAAAATGACCCATAATTGAGGAGTTACTCTTCAGCTGGAGCTAATAGGCTTGGGAGTTAGAGCCACAGACTGAGTTAGGATTGGAAAGTAAAGTACAAAGAGACAGACTTACAAATTGTTGGCTCTGCTCTTTTTGTGAGATTGTCGACAATAACAAAAATTTTGGATATCACCAACTGTATCTTTTAAACTTGATTTTAACTGCACTGTTTTATTTCATTCTTTCCCCTTCTGTTCTTTTCAGGTCCATGTTCCCTACAGTGAGTTCTTCCAGCTGGAGGCGTTGTCTGCCTACCACCGTGTGGTCAGTTTGGAGGACTTCATGGAGAAGCTGGCACCCAAATACTGGCCCTCATCACAAAGGAAAGCCTACTGTTTTGAGACTGCGGCACAACGGAGTCCAGACAAGAAATCATGCCCCATGAAGGTGAGAGTCCAGTGGAGTAGATGAGTTGACTGATGTGTGTCATGTAGCTACAATGAAGTAAGATTATCAAATTATATTGGTTGCTTTTTTTAGATTGTCTACTTAGGTGTAATTTCTTTTTCCTAAAATATTTGTTAGTACAAGATCGATAAAGATTAAAGTAAAGAAGCATAAAATGCACTTTATTTGAGAACAAATCCAATAGAGACTCAGCCTCCTCATCAATAAAAAAATGGTGACTGCTAAAGATGAGGGTGAAAGGCTGCCCTCTGGTGGTGCTGACCCAAGCCTACAAAGATAATGCGGTTACAGTCTCATTGCTCGGATATGGATTGATGGATGATTCTGATTCATTTCCAGGATGGGAACCCATTTGGTCCATTCTGGGACTATGTCGGTGTGGAATTTGATAAGTCCGTTTTGTTTGGTGGCATTTCTTTCAGTGCCCACCACCATCCTCAGTGGATGAAGAAGTGAGTACATGTTTGAGCAGCCCCACTGTAATGCAGATACATTTAGGATGATTAAAGATGACATAAAGAAGATGTCTTAATAAAGAACACTGCTAGCCTGAAATATAATGATTAACTGACTGATGAGGTTTCTTAGATTTTACATTAATTTGAATGTATAAGGTGGTGCCTCTTCTGAAGTTGTTAACAGGCTAATTCTCCTCATGCTTTTCCTGTTGGAATAGGTTCCCTCCCTCTGAGCACCCTGTCCTGGCATTGCCTGGTGCTCCTGCCCAGTTCCCAGTGATAGAGGAGCATGTGGGCCTGCAGCGCTATGTGGTGTGGTCAGACAAGATGGTAAAGGAGGGAGAAAAGCACATTGCCACCCTGCTGACCAGGCCTTATGTTAGCATTCACTTGAGGATTGGCATTGACTGGGTGAGATATTATTCACAACATAGGAGCTAGGGTTTGGACACAAAAGGGTTGTCTTCTCCCTCTTTCTGCTTTTCATTTTCACATTCACTCATATGCTCACATACAGACATCACATTTCCGTTTTCACCAGGAAACAGTTAGCAGCTGTAGCAACTCGACTTCAGTGAACTCTGGGAATTCCAGCAGGCTGGTGGCCAGTGGCAGCACCTGTGTAATACCAGGAACAGAAAGTGTGATGATCCGGCAACAAGTCTGGGTGATCTGAGATCAGACTTAAGGCAGGGGTTAGTGCTGGCTGATTTCGAGTTGCTACAGTATGACTGAAAGTCCGTCTCTGGAGCTGCTGACTTTGACTTTTGATTTGTGTTGCTCTCAGTGTACTAACACAGAAATAGACACAGTTACAATAAGGACAAGAAAGCTGGACAACAGTAAAGAAGAATTTAAGTATGATGTACATACATAGATGATATATATGAAATTTATAAGCAAGAAGACAATAGTGTAATGCTGCACAGTGCAATAAATAGGGAAAGATTAATGTAACAGCTTCTTTATAGACATAATGTGAGCGGATGTGTTGGTGTATGCATTTATACAGTGTACAACATATACAGCATGCTTTGACCTGAGGGTCAAAGCTCTTCCTGAGCAACTCGGTGAACAGTGAGTAGGGAGTCGTGATGTTTGTGCTCCATGTCAGTTATACGGTCAGCCAAGTGTTGTAACGCCTCACTAACACAGTCCTGAGATGGGATGAAAACACCAATGAGAATAAAGGAGGAAAACTCCTGCGGTTAATAGAACAGTTAAAAGTAAATGTACTCTAAGTGAAGACTGCATGATTTCTTCAACACGGTGACAACTGTACAAAAGCCTGCATTTATGCATTATGCCCCTCGTGTTCCCTGATAGCTCTTTTACATGGCACACTTGAAGGAGTTGGAAGCCCAGCAGATGTAGTATACTATCCAGGATTTTCTCACCAAGTCAGGTTTTGTTGGTTTGTTTTGAACTCAGGGCAACAGCTCTGGAAAAGTCAGACAAGAGCGCAGTTTAAAATCCTTACTGTTGCAGTTTAACAAGAGATCTGGCTCACTTTCCCTATCAGTGCCTGCTGCAAATCCCAAAGAGCCCTACTGCTCCTCCAAATAAAAGTTCTGTAAAACTGTGTTCAGAAGTTCCTCCCTGGTGAATGCAGATGGAGAGGGAGAACAGATGAATTAACACTGCAGTCTTTATTGCTATTCATCATCTGGTCACCTGTAAATGTTTTTGTTTGACCACCCTTACAGCAAAATGCCTGCAAAATGCTGAAGAGTGGTGAAGCCGGGCCTCACTTCATGGCCTCTCCTCAGTGTGTCGGCTACAACCGCCAGACAGCCTTGCCTCTCACCATGAACATGTGCCTTCCTGATCTGGCAGAGATCCGCAGAGCTGTCAAGCTGTGGGTGAAGAAGACCTCTGCCCGCTCTGTCTACATTGCCACTGACTCAGAATCACACAGTAGGGATATTGAAAAGCTCTTCAAGGGCAAGGTGGGTTTGAAAAGCCTCTCTGATACATTCAAAAGTATGTTGTAAGTAACTTGTGCTTTACATTTGGCCCCGTGTGTTTCTCATAAGAGTTGAAGTCAGAATCAAGCCTCTCATGTAAACTGTGTATGTAATTAGTCTAAAATGGAAATTTTACTGGCCAGGGAAGTGTTTTTCACTCCCAAGCATTTTTAGAATTGTCAGTATTGCACTTCCCCACCTGGTTGTTTATATGTGTATTTCATTCTGGCTTTCCAGGTGAAAGTGGTGAGTCTTCAGCCAGACTCGGCCCAAATGGACCTGTACATCTTAGGTCAAGCTGACCACTTCATCGGCAACTGTGTCTCCTCCTTTTCCGCCTTTGTGAAAAGAGAACGGGACATCCATGGCCTTCCATCCTCCTTTTTTGGCATGGACAAGCCTGGGAAGTTAAACCACAAAGAAGAACTCTGAGCACAAGGGTCACATGGTCATCTGTATGCTAATGCTAGTGGACTGTCAAGAGGAGGCGAGGGAGCAGAAAAATATTTACATGTGATGGTTCATGAAGGCTGGTCCTATTTTAGAATAGGTTTTAATCTGTGAGAAAGGAGGAAGGGCTTATAAAATATATTGTAGCAGGTCAGGTGGGTAATGTGTGTAATATGATATGGATATTGCTGCTACCAACAAACACTATTTTGTCTGTTCCTACTTTAAAATCCTGTATTTGTACAGTTGCGCTCAAGATTTGGCTTCTACCTGCTTGTGTTTACTACTCGGAAACCAGTTTTTCTTTCCGTCAAGGAAATACACCATTTCCCTAACATTTCTTTTAGCTGTTGCCATAGTCTGTAGCTGCAACCATGCTTTTTCCTTTGCATCAGGAAACTGCACCGTTTTCCTAACATTTCCTTTAGCTGCTGCCATAGTCTGTAGCTGCAACCATGCTTTGCAATCCAGACATGTTAGCAGGACCGCTGGTGACCTCAGTGAACCCTGGAAAGGACTGCAGTGCCAGCAATCACATTCTCCCTCTTCTCTTTCTCTCTCCACCTTTCCATCCCTCCATGTCTTTCCAGCTTGCTCTTTCCTTTCCTCTCTGCCCTCCATTCCAAGGAGAGCACAGTAACTGATCCTCCTGTACATACTAATTATAGGGAGGAAAAAGGAGACAAGTCTTTCCACCTCTCAGTTTATCAGGACCAAAAACTGATGAAATGTGTGGAACCCTGTACTGAATGTTGTTCGGCAGTATTGCTATTCAGCGAATGTGAACAAAATGTTTCAAAGATGTTTGGGGGAGAGAAGAGTTGATTTGCACTGGTTGAATTGAATGCAAGCAGGGATGTGTGGCTAGCTAATTGTGTTCTTGTGTGTGAAAGCAGTGAATGCGATAATTTTGAAGTGTTTTATACAATGTTTTTCACCAATAAAATGATGCACACTATTTTTTAAAGAACCACCAGCCTCAGTCTGTTTACCTCACTGACTTGAAGCTTAGCTGTGAGCACAATTGAATCAGCTGATAGACTAAGCTATGTTGGACAAGCTTGTTGAGACTTGGTTGCCAGATATTCTAGGATACATAGCATTTATATTATTCACAATGCTTGTATTTCGGCTTGACGCCTCGTTATTTACAGTGGAAGTTTTACTTTTTCTGCGACTGTATGTTTAACTAACAAATACTTACGCTTATTCAGAATAACAATACTTGTATGGGTTAATATGTTTTCACATATACCTCTGTAGGGGGGGATACGGTGCGTGAATCTGGCAACATTGCAACAGGGACCGTTGTCGGGATGAGCCGCGGCTAATGGCTGACTGGGAGTTCTGGATTAGCTAACGTTCGCCACTGGTAAATCTTTAACGACGTTTCTGTGTGCCCGATGAAAAGCTGTGTTTGTATTGCATATGTTTCACGTGCCTAATGTGATTTTCATTTTTGTATGGCGACATGTTGAATTGATTTACGCGCTCGCAGCTAGCGTTAGCCAGGTAATGCTACCAGATTTGTAGCTAAGGTTACCAGTGTGTTTGCCGTTGCTAGGCCGGTCTTGTGGTCTCGTTATGGGCTGCATTTTGCATAGGCTAACGCTGGCTAGCTAACCCGCTACTTTGACGAGTCATTGCTAACATCTATTGAGCAGCTATAAAACGAACGGTTTATCGACATGTTACGGCTGGCATGGTGCTCACAATGGCTGTCACTCCATAACATGGAATTCCAATGTTGACCTAGTAGTCAACCTAGAAGTTTATAATTGCCGTTTAACCGGCTATATGTAGTTAACAGTTAGCTAAATGGGGTAGTGGCACCCCGGTGTATTATCTAACAGCAGTGTGAAACGATAAATTCCGCCCCTCACCGTTGGCACATAACATCAAGGAGAGGTTTGGTCCAACTTTATTTAACCTAATCAGTTCTCGTTTGTTCTGTTGTGTGTTTAGTGACATCTGGGGAAATCTTACTACGCTTTAATAACGTTAGTGTTTCCATGTAACGGTACAAGAAGTTGTCAAGAGCCAGAAACGGGGCTGCAGTACAGGTGTCAGTGTCAGGATAGCTCGCTAAACAGCGATCAGCCACAACATTAAAACCACTGACGGCTGAACGCTCATCTTGTTACAATCCAGTCTTATGCTGGGAAGCTTGGAATTCATGTGGATGCCACTCGCAGGATCCACCCAAACACAGTTGCAGACCAAATACACCCCCTGATAGCATTGGCCCACCCAGCAGGAAGATGCTCCATGCCACACCGCAAAAACTAATCAAGAATGACCCGAGGAACGTGACGAAGAGGTCAGTGCATCAACCTCGCCTCCAAATTCCTCAGATCCCAGCCAGACAAAGCATTGTAGGGATGTGCTGGTACCTCACTGAGCAACCACCAGGACTCAGTGATCAGCTGCCAACGCTCAGGTGCCAGACACCACAAGTAACCTCCAGAGGTCCTGTGTCCATGTCTCATCAGGTCAGAGGCCCCAACATTAATCAGATTTGGCTCTGACCTGTTAAGGAATGGACACAGGACCTCTAGATAACAGCAATTCCCACAGGTGCTCAATTGGCTTGGGATCCAGGTAATTTGGAGGCTAGGTCGACACCTTGAGCTATTTGTCACATTCCCCAAGCCATTCCTGAGCAGTTTTTGGCATGGTGCATTGTCCTGCAAAAGCCTGCCTTTGGAAAGTGCTGTTGCCATAAGATGGTGCACTTGGTCTGCAACAGAGTTTGGGTGGGTTGGGCATGTCAAGTGGCATCCATATGAATGCCAGGACCCAAGGTTTCACAGCAGAAGATTGCATTGTAATGAGATCACCAGTGTTATTCACCGCACCTGTTGGTGGTTTTAATGTTTTGGCTGATCGATGTGTAATTGCTGAAGTCTGTCAGTAGCTTTGTATTACACAGAGCTTTAATGAGTCTTCCAGTGTGTATTTAAAGATGTGTGTGATGCATTAACCATCAAAGTTGTGAGTCATCATGACAATTGCCATTGCAGGTTGGTACTAATCACTGAATGTGTCTTTTCCAGCAGTTTCTGATGTGGGCATTTGTATTGGTGCACTGTTGCTGAAGCTGCACTTGGAAGACAGAGCATACAGAGTGCCAAGCCGTGTGAGTTGGCAGCTGCTCTGCAACATGTCCAAGAGCAAGAGCTCTGAGTCCGTCAAGGTGGTGGTCCGTTGTCGCCCTATGAATGAAAAAGAGCGAGCAGCCAAGTTTGAAAGGGTGGTAACTGTTGATGTCAAATTGGGCCAAATAATTGTCAGGAACCCCAGGGAGGCTTCTGCCAGTGAACTCCCTAAAGTCTTCACTTTTGATTCAGTCTACGACTCGAACTCCAAACAAATAGATTTGTATGATGAAACCTTCAGGCCCCTGGTGGATTCAGTTCTATTTGGGTTCAATGGGACCATTTTTGCCTATGGACAAACCGGTACAGGGAAAACATACACTATGGAGGGGGTTAGAAATGACCCTGAGAGGAGAGGGGTGATCCCTAACTCCTTTGAGCATATCTTCACTCACATTTCACGGTCCCAGAATCAGCAGTATCTGGTTAGAGCCTCATATCTAGAAATTTATCAAGAGGAGATTAGAGACTTGCTCTCCAAAGACCAGTCACGTCGTCTCGAGCTCAGGGAGAGACCTGACACGGGTGTGTACGTTAAAGACCTTTCATCATTTGTCACCAAGAGTGTGCGGGAGATTGAACATGTCATGAATGTGGGCAACCAGAATCGTTCAGTGGGTGCCACTAACATGAATGAGCACAGCTCCCGTTCTCACGCCATCTTTGTCATCACTGTGGAGTGCAGTGAGTTGGGTGTTGATGGGGAGAACCATATCAGAGTCGGCAAACTTAACCTGGTGGATTTAGCTGGCAGTGAAAGGCAGACCAAGACTGGTGCTCAGGGGGAGAGGCTAAAAGAAGCCACAAAGATCAATCTGTCGCTTTCGGCTCTGGGCAACGTCATATCAGCTCTGGTGGATGGCAGGAGCAGCCACATCCCCTACCGAGATTCAAAACTCACCCGTCTGCTGCAGGACTCTCTGGGGGGCAATGCCCGCACGGTCATGGTTGCCAACATTGGCCCAGCATCCTACAATGTGGAGGAGACCCTGACGACGCTGCGGTATTCCAACAGGGCTAAGAACATAAAGAATAAACCACGTATCAATGAGGACCCCAAGGATGCCCTGCTCAGGGAGTTTCAGGAGGAGATTGCAAGGCTAAAGGCACAGCTGCAAAAGCGCTCAGGAAAAAAGAAAAGGAGGAGGCAGAGGAGAAGGGCCGGGGAAGGGAGTGATGGTGAGGATCTGGAGGAAGGAGAGACGGAGGACGATGATGAGGACGGGGACGACAAAGGGGATTACTGGCGGGAGCAACAGGAGAAGCTGGAGAGAGAGAGAAAGGCTATCATGGAGGATCATAGTCTGGTGGCTGAGGATAAACTTCGGCTGCTAAAAGAGAAAGAGAGGAAAATGGAAGATTTGAAGAGGGAGAAGGAGGCCGGAGAGATGCTTGCAGCCAAAGTAAAAGTAAGCTAATTTTGCCAGATTGGGTGAGTTTCTGTTCATCCAGTATGTATCTGATCGATTTGATTTGAAGAGAAGGTGTAGCCCAGGCTCAAATTTCAGATTTTGTTTTATTGGATTCAGCAAATGATTTATCTACTCTTAAATGCACATATAAGCCAGCAGAGCTTCTCATAAGTCATTAGATAGTGTTTTTCTAGTCAAACTTGTTTCATTCAACCCAACTGGTGAAATCCATTAGTCAGTTCAGATGCTTTTCTCCCCAAGGTGACCTGAAGTGGTCTCATCCTTCTTTTGTCCTTCTCAATCCAGGCGATGGAGAGTAAGCTCCTGGTAGGGGGGAAGAACATAGTGGATCACACCAATGAGCAACAGAGAATGCTGGAACTGAGGAGGCAGGAAATCGCCGAACAGGTATACATGACACCTGAAAGATGAACTTTTCTCTTAATTAGAGTGTTTTGAAGCCATAACTCAGTCAGTGAACATGATCAGTGGATACTGGATAGGTTTTTTATTACGGGTGTGACGGTACACAGAATGAACAGTTTGGTTCATACCCAGGTTTATTTAAGAGTCATGGTTTGGTTTGGTGCAAGGTACAGTGGGGGGTGGGGGAAGGGATGATAGAAATGAAATAGAAAGGACATTGAACTGTTTGCCGTCGTCATTTGACTAGTACAGAGGTGCCTTTAACTAAGAATTATATGGAAGTCAATAACAGTCATTTTTTAAAAACATTTTATTGTTCATATACTATTGGTGCAGGGCTTAAGTGATTTTTTTTTTCATTTTGTCATACCTCTACGGCCTGGTAGCTATGGATTCCAAATCCAAAAAAAGAAAAGTTTCAGAGGAAAATACAGAATTTAATAGTGCATAGACATATATTTATTTTCTCTTACCACTATGGCTGCAAAGTGTAAGTACCAAATAATCATAAATAGCCCACTGCAGAGCAGCCACCTTGTGGAAAACATAATGAATGCTCATTAAGACCTGTTAGTAATGTTGATAGGATCATTTAGACTTTATAGACTGTGTTACCTTCATTATAAGGTTCAAATATGTTTTGCAGCTCCAGACAGATTTAAGTTATTTTTTGGTCAAACATGGCTCTTTTGATTATAAAGGCTGTTTACCTCTGGACTAATACAAAAGAAAATGTTGATTCTAGTTAGTTTCAGCAAACTGGGAACACACATCAGTGGGGCCATAAATAGTGTCACAATCACTAGTTTGAGAACTCTGTTTTGGCCTATTCTTACACATATGTTCGTTATTACACAAAAAATACAACCATACTCCAATCCAAGTTTCTCTCTTTCACTTAACTAAGACTGATGTTATCCTAACTGCCTTCCTTACTCATCGTAAAACACACTTCATTCAGACATGACAGAAACAAACTCACCAAAACCATGTCAGCTAGTCTTGTTAGTCATCTATTTAGTCAGTCCACTCTTCCAGCAATCACCAACTCTGGTGTGGCCGAAATAAATCCTTAATTCATTGAGTTAGATGTTAAAATATGCTGGCCTGTAAGCTGTTTATCCCCGCAGTGTCTCTGTGCCTCTCACCTGCTGTCTGAACAGCGACTCACACTCCTGCTTAAGAGGCAGCTACAGTACATTATGTTTCAACAAACATGAAATGAATGGCAACAAAAACACAGGGACAACAGTGACAGTTAAAAGCAACAGATGCTTATTTGGAAACATAAAGTTGCTACTCAAGTGCTCATTTGGTCGTTACTGCAAAACCACACCTCAGTGAGTTTGCAACTTGCCCCAAATTGGTTTGTTTATATGGAAGTTTAGATAAAAGTTACCCCACTACAACAGTTCCAATGGCAGCAGTCCACATAAAAATTGCCACTGCTTTGGCCACCTTGCCATTCTGATTTGAATGGGAATGTCTGTTCTACAGTAATTTTATTTTATGGGAAATCAAATATATAGGAATCTGTTTCTTTTCATGTATTTAGAACAGACAGTAGTACAAATGTCAGAGTGTCCCCTTGCTGGGGACTGAGGGAGCATTTTGCCCTCTGGTGACTTTGGTTAACTGTTTTCATCATGAAACTAAGGAATATCTCAGAGATTTCTGTACATCTAAATCATATATTTTCCTGTTCAACTGACAAAACCACATCGTACTGTAATGTCATTGTTAAATATCATGTTTTTTTCTGTTTCCAGCAGTCTTAAAACAGTCATAATGCCCACTTCAGACCAAAGATCTGCGACAAAAAGAGTTGAAACAGGCATCTACTTGAAATGTGCTGTTCTGCAATGTTCTAAAAACCTGTGGGTTCACACCAGTACAACTAGATGTGGCGGTCCATCATCTCTATGCAACAACTTTCTGTACTTCTGTTTTGATATCCAACTTTGCAGGCTTATTTTGTTGCTGATTATTAAAAAAAGCAAGCATCAGGTGGACTCTATTCACAATAAATACACCACAGTAATATATATAAGCGGTGCCAATTAATCAGTCAGTGAGAGTGTGCGTGCACACTGTGAGGATGGAAACAGAGGGCTCGGCGGGGATGGAGCATCTTCCACAGCAGACGAATGTGCCGTCTGCAGTCAATTCAACTTGACTGTCAGACATCACTACAGGCTGATTGGCTTTTGAAACAGGTGATGTGCTTTATGTTCTAAAACCAGCTGCCAGCAATTTGACTAGCTGAGTTGCGGATGACACCATCAGCCGGCTTGAGTCGAGCTCAGAATGGCCAGTTCACACCGCTGCAACTTTTATTTGCAACACTCTCATCGTGAATCTTTGGTCTGAACTGGGCTCAAAGTGTTTATATCTTTATGTTTTTAAGGGGACCTATTTTATTGTTTTGTAATTTTTATTGTGTATTTTATCTCTTCATATTTTGAACTATTCAGTGTTAAAATTAATACGATATATTTAATACGATAACATAACAAATAATATAATATAATAATAATATTATAATAAAACCACTAGATTGTAGGGGTTTCTAAGAACCTTCTCTAAAATCATCCTCTCTCTAAGGAAAGTAGTCATATATTTCTGAAAATGACTTCACATGCCTAACTATTATTAACCTACACTTCTGCAGGTGTGGATTTAAGAACTTGTTGCTCTGATGAAGATACATTTTTTATCAATGTTTAACAAACTGGAAAATCCAGACTTGTGTTAAATCCTCAACAGTCAAATCAAGCTTATTCAGTTATCCATGTATGAAGAACAGGGCCCAGGTCCATGATCAATTGTGTACTTAATGCACCCTTATGTCAGCATGACAACAGTCCTTGTCAAAAACAAAGTGTGAAATTTTGAAAGTCTCATGATCTCTGACAGTTACCCCCAGACAGGCTTTTGTCAGTTGCTTAAGTGGCTGCAAGATTAGATCAAACTTCCTGCCACTATCATTTCCCTAATGTATCCATAGTCATTATATTCATTATTAGCTTTTATCTCCACATTCCCTCTATTTTACACTGTGGTCCTTGTATTCTCCCTGTAGGGCATTATTTTTTGATGAACATCATCTTGCTTCATACTATCCCTTATTTGACTGCCTGTGTATCACATGACAACCTTACTTTTTATCAGAAACTTCTGTGTAGCCTAATTACACACAGAGCACAGTGGTTACAATATCTGAATATGTGTGTAATTCCAGAAACGGCGAGAGCGAGAGATGCAGCAGCAGATGGAGAGTCGTGATGAGGAGACTCTAGAGCTAAAGGAGACCTACAGTTCTCTGCAGCAGGAGGTCGACATCAAAACCAAGAAACTGAAAAAGGTAGCAGCTGCAACCTTGAGTGGTCTAATTAATGCTTGTCCCTCCTGTCCACCATCCAAACTGGCACAAGACACAGTTTTCTGCATGTGTTTCCAGTCCTGTCCGCTTAAAGCATAGATAGAGCATGACTATTTAATTTTGAAAGCCTGATGTTCAGTACTTGTAAGGCCTATATATATCTGGTGATGTCTTGCAAGTAAGTAGGTCAGATATTATTTCAGATCAGGTAAGAATAGACTGTTGGCTTTGTTTGTCTATTTCAATCGTCTATTATTCCTCACAACTGTCAGGTGTCTAAGCTGGAGTCAAAAGCTGAATATTCTGCAAACTCTTTTCCAAGTCCATCATGTTACCCCTGTTTTCCTGTCTCCCTCTCTGTCCTCTAGTTGTTTGCCAAACTGCAGGCCGTGAAAGCAGAAATCCACGACATCCAGGAGGCACACATCAACGAGCGTCAGGAGCTGGAACAGACCCAGAATGAGCTCACCAGAGACCTCAAACTCAAGTATGGAGCCTGAATATCATACTGTTGGCCTGGCAGAAAGACATGGATCAGTATTATATCTATTATGAACACCATCTGCCCTGGTGGAGGAGGAAACATTTATTGTAACAATGGGCCTCATTGAATAATATGTGTGTTGAAACCCTTTCATTCTGCATAGAAAATAAGTGAGCATGCAAAATCCCATTGGATTCATGACACATGCACATTGGTTTTGTTCTTGCCACTGTGCATATATTTGTGAATTAAAATTATTCTAAATTGACAGAAATACGTTTGCCCAGAGGTGTATTGTGGAGAAAGTCGTGAATTTGTTTTTACACACATGTTAAGGCCCTGACATACCAGTGTTGCAACATCCTTGAGCATCTGTGAATGTAAAGGCACTTGGAAACAGCTGATAAGCCGTTTGTCACTCTCTTCAAAGATGTTGAAACACGTCGGTCCCAAATGCGCTCTCCTCCAGCAAGGTTAGATATGTGTGGGGCGCCCTGTAGCTCAGTGGGTAGAGCATGCGTCCCATGTACAAAGGCAATGTCCTTGCTGCAGCGGCTGTGGGTTTGATTCTGGTATGCAGCTCTTTGCTGCGTGTCATCCCCTCTCTCTCCATCTTTCACACATAATACTGTCCTACTGATTAAAGACAAACAGCCCCCCAAAAAATCTTTAAAAAACAGAACTTAAAAATAAATTTGACCAAATAGTATTTCTGGTGTCGACAAGCTGGCTAATCACGCACATCTGCAGTTTTCACATGATCTCATGCCACTGCTATATTTTCTCAGGCAGTGATAAACAAAATATGTCACTGATAACATGAGTTATGAGCTGGCAAAAACCTATTCAAGCCACCCACTGCTTGGATTTTGATGTGCGTCTATTCGTGCTGTTGAGGTATTGGTACCTGGAGCGGCCAAAAAGGACAAAGGAAGACTTGCAATTTAGTAATAATTTTTCAAGTTTATATACCAAATAAAACCATAAGAAAATAGGTCCCAGTTTGCTGAAACAGTTGGCAGCAGACAATTTCTGCTCAATTTCTGTAGTTTGACAATACATTGCCGTACAAAGAATGTCAACTCAAATGATACTGTAACACACTGAAAAAGTCCTCATTTTAAAACTCTCATAAATTCAATTATTTAATGTTTTCTTTCAGGTTTGCTGAAACTCATTCAGTCATTTTGCTGTGCAGTTTTGATAAAATTACATTCAAATCAGCTCAATTTACATTACAGCATTCATAATTCCTTCATATTTAAACTGTCATTAAAAAAAGTCCTGAATAAGTTTGCTGAAATGAGTCCTCTCCGGAATGATCCAGACTATGACCGTGTCAAATTTAAAGTTAAAGTAATTTCACTATCTCACTACAAAGTAAATTGAAAAGTTGGCAATCCGACTGTGACTACTGACTACCTGTGCAGGTAAAAAAAAATTTGGTGTGTTTAATTTTTAAAAGTTACACTTTAAAAGATACATGCACCAGTGCATAAACGCAGTATTTTGAGCCCTGTAACATAATGCTTAATCAAGCATGTGAAGGAAAAATGGTGTTCAAGTTGTACTTAGGATCTAGTCGGACCTAAGCTCTGTTCAGCCAGATAACTTTTAAATATATTTGAATTAGATATATTAAATCTGCACCTCACCCTCAAACCAGTTGACTGTCTTTTTAAGTGTGATAAATAGCACACAGCAGGGCAGGAGTCACACGGCTGAAGTGGCGTGTTTATTCTCACCTGAGCATCTCTGTGTTGCCGTCATTTCTCTGCTTGCCTATCTGTGTATCTAAACCTGCCTCTTTCTCATTGCTTGTTCGTTTGTCTTTCAGGCATCTGATCATCGAGAACTTCATTCCCTTAGAGGAGAAGAACAAAATAGTCAACAGGGCTTACTTTGATGAGGAGGATGAATACTGGAAAATGAAGCCCATCACACGTATAGAGGAGTAAGTTACAGCGTAATCATAACTTCTTCATCTGGTTAGAAGTGCACACATGTTGTGTTAAAAGTTTTACGATTAAACTTTTTTTTTATTGCTTTTTCACCACTTGATCAAGCATTTTACATGTCAATGATATGTCCATTTACAGCAATACAAAACCAAACTGAGAAAGAAAGAAAACCAACATAAAACATAAAAGAGAACATGCACATTCCACTTGACAATATATACAGTACCACATTTCCTCACACAAGTGTTAAAAGTTTTAAAAAGAAGACGAATAATGAATAATTAATTAAATATTTAGTACATTCATTTTTCACTTTTCATTTCTGCAAAGCCATTCTCAGCCAGCAGGCCAGGTGGAGGGTGAAGTCGTGTGTAGGTGTGGCGATGGGGGACAATGCATCGTATGTTTTTTGTTTGTTTTTGTTTTTGGTTTGGTTTTTAAGATGCCCCAGTCTCATCTGTTGGATCGATACTGACGCAGACAATGACCATGTTATGTGGCTTAGCAGTCAGTCAGATAAAATAGAACAGCTTAAAAAATGAGGACTGGCATTTTATTTTTATTAACTTTTTAGCAATGGGATTTTAAAGAACACAATGGGTGGACTATGTTGTTTAGCAGGGCAGTTTTGATTTGTGAGGAAAAAGAGAAAAAAAGATGTCAATGTATAAATATCCCCACCAGTAGCTATAAATTGACGTGTAGTTACAGCCACATGTTACCTGATCATCTATTCTTGAGAATTGGGAGAAAAAGAAGCCTTAAAATTATAAGTTATCAACACACTAATTTCATTTTTTTTAAAGGATTTAACATGACATAAATATGGTTTCTAAAATATTTGATCTGCTTTCATTTTTTTAACTTCTAAACTTGCCTTGTGCCAGAAAAGAACCTTTTCCCAACAAGAATTCACAACTGCGAACAGTTGAAAAAATTGTTAAAAGCCTTCAAAATAAAAAACTAACAGTACGTATTGATAACATCAGTGTTAAAATGTACTGCTATAATCATCTCTGTTGTAAAATATATTTAAGATTAAGATGTGTCCCTGATTTTTGTCAGCTAGTCAGATTTTTTTACAACAAACAATTTAATCAGGCATAAAAGGAATGAACTGTATCCTAAGGACTCCTGTCTCACTTCCTGGTTTGCAAAAAAGTGGGACTAATGCTCATGTTCTGGTAAGCTTTCTATTGTATGATAAATTCGTTCAATAATATTGCTCTCTGCTGTGTCTCAACCATAACAGGTCAACTCTGTAGCCATTCTAGATCCAATTTAAATGAGAATTGGCATTAAGAGAACTCTTTCCTACTTGGAAAGATAAAATGGCTCCTCACTACAACTGCTGTGAAATTAATAAATCTGTAACTGCTTGTCAGTTCGGTAAGACGTCAGCTCATGTATGAAATTCAAAAAGAAAAATTCAATCATTTGGGGGTTTGTCCAATACAAGGTTTAATAGTCAAGACTTTGATCAGCCTAATTAGAGTGTAAAAATCCATAACCTTCCAAAAATAAGGCTTTGTCCCAATTCATTAGAATGGGGGTTATGTAGAATAACATAATCTTAATTAGTACTGCACAGAAAAGTTGCCGGAGTTCAGATTTGGTGTGGGTTTTGAGAGACACAAATTAAGATTGGTGCTTTTGAGCTGTAATCATGCCTGTAAATGGTTGCTCATCTATTCCATTCCAAAACAAATTATTCACAGTCTAAGGGTAACATTGCCCTCAGGTCAAACTGCCTTGAAATTTCTGTCATATTTGTCCAGGATGGCTCAGTTTTGTAGCAGCAGTTACATTTCCAAACCACAAGAAGGCATGTGACTTCAGTATTAAGCCCTAAAGTGCTATTTACAGGTTTTAGTAGCATTTATAGAATACTCAATACTGTGGGATCACCTCTATAATGACAGAACAATTCATTGCTTTACTGTATACTACATTCAAAATGAATTTTCCCACAGTGCTGTACATAAGGCTGCATCCGAAAATCCATACTAACATGCCATTTAGTAGGCTAAAACAGTATGATAGATTTTTCTGTATGTCCAAAACCTTAGTATGAAATCAGTAGCATGTGAATTGCATAGTCTGGTGAAATATTACAGTATGCAAATACTGGCACGCTGGCATAAATATGCCACAGTGCCATGTGGTTGTGATGACAGAGTTCATAACTGCAAACAGCAACCGAGGCAGCTCTGTAACATCAATGAGCGATAGATATCTCTAGAGGTGAATAACTTTGGTTATAAGACTGCTGCCTGATGTCAAATTTAGGAAACACTGCATGAAGTATTGTGGTAGGGACACCATTACAGATGGATTACATATCACAGGATTATTGAGCTTTATTATAGATACAACATGCATTTTGTTAGCCATGCCAGTCTGGGATCCAGGGATGTCAGTCCATCACTCCACCATTTGGTCCAGACCGAAAATATCTCAAAAACTATTTGGATCAAGTTCCATTAAATTTGGCACATACATAAACATTATACCTGCTATGAATGGATAATAGTACAGGTTTTGGGTGCGCAATTTCTGACGCAGCAGCTGTCTCATTCTCTGTGTGTCTGCTTCAGTGACCATCAGATGATGACCAGGCCTTTGTCTGCAGTCGGCTACAGGAGGCCTCTCAGTCACCACGCTCGCGTGGCCATGATGATGAGGCCTGACATGAGATACAAAGTAAGCTCCACGTCCTTCTCACCTTTTGCATTCACACATAACCCTCCAGGTCTCTGCACACAGAACACCCTAGACACAGTGGCTCTGCATTCCTCATCCTCTTTCACTCATTACGCCAGATGGGTTGAGCTTGGATGTGTTATTGACACTTCAAAAGCAAACAATGCAATGCAGCATTAACAGTGCAGGTATATAAGCAATGGGGTATTGGTGGGTATACATGGGTATACAGGGTATGCCCACCCAGTGCCAGCCCATGTGATAGGGAGTATATGCAAATGCTAAGGGCAACATCATTTATCGAGGGCATCACAAATGGAGAAAGAAGAAAAAATCAAAATATCTTGTACTATATTTTACTAATACTTTTATTACTGTTATTTTTGAAATATTACACATATTACATAATATTAAATAATAGAGAGGCTTTTTTTTCTGGGTTCCTGCCGCCCCCCAGCCCCCCCTCTCCAGCTCGGTACACTTCACCTGCTCTCTGGGGGAGATGGCCGAGTTATCTGACGTGATGTAAACTCCAAAACACGCTGTGTTGTTATCATGTCTAAACGACAAAAGCTTTCTGGTGCCCACTCAGTTGCATTTACACTACTGAAAGGAGTGGATGTGGAGAGAAAGAACATGAAATCAGCAGGAGGAGAGCTAGTTATCGTTACCTCTAAGCAGCCAGTGGTCGCAACGCGCTTGCATATGGCACCAAATGTCCTAGAGCCACCACTGTACCCACCTCTTTTTGTGGTAGTTTACAGTATACCCAGTATACCCACCTATCAGCCAGTCGGAATACACTTCCTCCTCTGTAACCTATCCATTTACCTAGTAGTACAACCACCTCATGAACTACACTAGACTACTATATATAAAGGGATTCAAATGCAAAAATTAATTAAATGGATGTTAATCAACAGGCTTATAAAATGCACTGGAATCCAGATTGTACTGTAGGTATCATGTTAAACATTTCCCCTATTGTGCCAGTATTAACATGCAGCATTTTCAAATACTAAAATACATTTTCACATGCTTGTCTTCAGGCTTTGGGCAGTTACATTCATCTTCACTGCTAACACATAAAATATGTACCTGAAGTGACTGGTCTCAAATGAGTGTGCTTCTGCTCTGTTTCTTCCAGGCTGAAAACATCATAATGCTGGACATGGACCTGCCTGCTCGGACAACTAAAGAGTATCAGGAGCCAGTTATCGCCCCAAAGGTGGCAGCAGCTCTGGAGAATGCTCTTAGGGATGAGGATGAGATCCAGGTAGATGCCTCAGGCTTTCACAGCAGCTTGGGATCAACCCCACCTGCCAGCGGCAGCCTCAAGAAACCAAAGTCCGGGTAAGACAAATTGTCACCTTCAGCTGTCAGGAACACAAGACAATTTAATTCTGAAGTGGTATACACTGTGGTTAAACTGGTGCTTGCATTATGTGCAGGTCAGGAATGAAGAAATCAGAGAAAATGTAAATTAAACCTCAAAATGTGTAGGCTCATAACCCCTTGCTGTTATTTCCACAGTCTGTCTAATCCTCTGTCATTGCTCTCTGTCACTCAGTCGACCAAGAACAGGCAAGAAGTCAAGCACCCCAACCTCTCCATTCAGCCCCTCAAGTCCAGGATCCCCGCTCTACCCACAATCCCGTGGCCTGGTGCCCAAGTGACAGCTTCTACCACTAATATCACCACCAACCTCTCTTGTGCACCTTTCCACTTTGGGACTCAACTTTGAGAGAATGAGTTTTGTTTTGTCAGTCATTTTTTGTCAAAGGTGATAGAATATTGGATTCTGCAGACAACAGAGAAAACTTTAAGACTAATGCTGCTTTGTAGGTTTTAACTGTAATCACGCCACTATTAGCTGTTGTCGTAAGCTTTTCATCTTGGAGATTTGAAATCCCTCATCCTGAGAATGAGTCAGTACAACACAAGGACAGCAGCCTCGCATGAAGCCTCACATTACTCTACACTGCTGTTACCTTTACCCACATTTTGCTTAATGCCACTGATGTCTTATATGTACATCTTGTGTATATATATACATATATATAT